ATGTTATGTTATGTATGTTATTTATCTTTCGTGTCCAGTTCGATAGACTCGCACCGTTACCACAAAGACACCCACAAGGCGCGCCTGCAGTGCTCGGAGTGCGACAAGACCTTCAGACACAGAACTGGACTCATGAATCATAGACTGTAAGCATTTATCCCTATTTATATCGCTTTTTATATGTGTATAACCTGGGTGTCTGTAAGGCCCGAGGTAGTAGGTCGCTTATGGGTCGACGTGCCACAACCGCGGACGTGCCACACAGTTTGCTTCTGTTCCGAGACGCTGCTGACGCGTGTGACGTGTGACGTGTGACGCGTGTGACATGTGACATGTGACGCGTGTGACATGTGACGTGTGACGAGTGACGAGTGACATGTGACATGTGACGTGTGACATGTTACGTGTGACGTGTGACATGTGACGTGTGACGTGTGACGAGTGACAGGTGACGTGTGACGTGTGACATGTGACGTGTGACGCGTGACGTGTGACATGTGACGTGTGGCATGTGACATGTGACGTGTGACATGTGACGTGCGGGGACTCACTCCGACACACGGGCAACGACTGGCTCGCGCATCGCAATATACTAATGGACATGCCGTACGCGTATAATCCGCAGTAATTTTTTTGGTGTGAAAAGAGTAATATAGATGGTTATGCTTTCGGTCTAGCGCTATCTCTTTCTCGCTCATAACGTCTTAACTACGGTACTATTTTGAGAGAGATAAAGATAGACCGAAACTTCGTTTCCTCCCTTTCTTTCAGAGTGCCACAATTCTCATCTATAAGGCATGTCCATTAGTATATGTCGATGGGCTCGCGCCGCACGGGCCGCTCGGAGCAAGGCCGGTACGGCTGCGCGAAACTCCGCCTGACGTGCACGGCATAGAGAAAGTACCGCAGCCGTCGTAACAGATACTAAAGAAATACGTGTCTAATTTTTTTTTCATTGTCTGACGAATCAAATAGATGGTTTCTTCTTGGTCTGTCATTGTCCGAGACAACCACCGTACAGTAAGTTTACCTGGGTCAGCATTATTGCGCCACTCGCTCTATATGTCTCCATCATTTACATTATTGCACTTACACCGCAATAATCCAGTACGTAATTCGGCGACATACCGTACGCGTGACTCATAATCCCATACCGTTCACCTTTCATCCTAGTTAAATTAATCTTAATCTTATATTTGTGGAAACAGACAATACAGTGAATTTATCCTAAACTGACTATCTCTTATCTCCTTTGACTTTATCTCGATCCAATCCCAAACATTGTTAATGTTATTTTATTAATGTTACAGGGCAGTACATGAGTATCACAACGTGTTTCCGTGCACGCTTTGCGATAAAGTTTTCAGATGGAAAACCAGTCTGAAGCGACATCTAGAGAAGCATGAAGTTATGAAGGTAACCTTGCTTCTGACTAATATTATTGGCTTAAAGATGTATATATGCTTAAATACAATGTGTAGTTTTGAAACCGTGTCATTTCTCGGGAGCATGTCACAGAAGTCATAAAGGTCAATGTAAGAGAAAATTTCGGGCCAATAGTTAAAAATACGGCTATAATAAATCGTTTAAGTTCGACAGTATTTCAGAATAAGCGACAGCAATGTTTCTTATTGGAGTTTTATGGAATTAGGAATAATATGAATTACGTGTTTGTGTTTGTGTGCGTTAAGCCGCGTTATAAAGCTAGTTACAAGACGGCGGCGTGTGGTTCCCACTTACGGATTTCCGATTTGACCTACAATTTTTTTATTGATTCGGACTCAGAATCTATAGCCAAGTTACCTCCTAGAACATGACGCGACTTTAAAACAACATCTTGTATAACCTTAAGGTTCTACCTGTGTGTTATTCTAGACCATGATCTACCTTTGTTGCAAATGTCATCACAATCCCTTCAGCCATTTTGATGTTATTGAACAAACATAGTGACTGCCAACTGTCGCAAATTACTACTGGGTTTTTATAAATTCTCAGTAGCAGCACGGAGTCTAGAATTGTGCCCGGTATATGGCTATTGCCATGGGCTCACCCCCTAATACATGGGACTCATAACATAAATAGTGAAAAGTGGGTGTTACATTGTACAGTGGCATAATGTGCACTTTTGCCTATCCCTTTGGGGATAACAGGCGTGATGTTATGTGAACAAACATATATACAAAACGAAATGAAATAATTAGAGTTGGAAACTTAAGAGAATTCGATGATTTTCCCGTTTTTCTGATATTCTTTTTTTTTATTTTTTTTATGGATAAGACATTAGTCGATCTACCTCCCATAGCAGTTTAATTCACTATTTCTGGGACACCCAGTATATATATCACTACATAGTATAAAACAAAGTCGCTTTCTCTGTCCCTATGTCCCTTTGTATGCTTAAATCTTTGAAACTACGCAACGGATTTTGATGCGGTTTTTTTAATAGATAGAGTGATTTAAGAGGAAGGTTTATATGTATAATACATGCATATTGCAGCCGGGGCGGGTCGCTAGTTTATTAATAATTTTTAATAACATATTTTCTTTTTTAGGGTAAATCGCCATCGTCTGCAGCATACTGTTCGACATGTAATATTAATTTCTCGTCTCTATGTTCGTACCAACGACACATGAAGATCAGCTTGAAACACGTTACGCAGGACCAGTTCAAGTAAGCATTTACAAAACTCTTTTTCTATCGTTGCCCCACACTAGGATTGTCTCCTGTGTCGTTGGTGCGTTTACAAACATACAAGTTATGAACACATGATACACAGACCCGCAACAATAATTTGTGGATCACACAAAGAGTTGTTCCGTGCGGGAATCGAAACCGTTGCACGTTGCACGGCAGCCGGTTGCCCTGTTACCTTGTGTTGGATAGTGCATTTATTAATGAAGGCTATAAATGTTATTTAATCTCCATGCTTTTTTTGCACGGGTGAAGCAAGAGGAAGTGTTAGACTCTTACTGACTAAAAACCACCCCGTTCCTACTCCTGTTCTTCGAACCGTAGCCCCGGCAACCCGTTAAGTTCTCCGCGGCTCCATATCGGCATCAGCCCTATTGGGTCCCGTCCGTGACAGTCTGATGGCTCCTTGAGGCGTGTGTGGAAAGCTTGGGTCTGGTTCTGGTCGGGCGGCGAGTCACCCATGCTCACCGTCCGCAGGCCCGCACGTACGGTGGCCGGAGATCGTCCCGCGATCCCCTACACCCGAAGCGAGGCGAGGACACCGGTGATCGCAACCTATTGTACTTTAATTGTGTCTATAATAACGGTACTCAAACAGTTAATTAACAGGCTGAAGAAAAGAGAGGGGGGGAGATTGAAGTCGGTTTTATTCAACGTTTTTTACGAAAGAATTTTATTTATATTTTTTAATGTTTTCAGGTTTATATGTGATCACTGCAATAAGCGGTTTTCTGATAAGACGAAGATTAGAGACCATATTGAAGAGAAACATCTGCATAAGACATTCCAGTGCCATATATGTCTAAAGGTAATCTAATTTCCGAAGTATTAATGGGTTTAAATAAAATCTCAGTAGTAGCACGGAGTCTGGAATTGTGCCCGGTATATGCCAGTAGGCTCACCCCCTATTACATGGGACTCGCAACATAAATAGTGAAAAGTGGGTGTTACATTGTACAGTGGCATTAAGTGCTGTAATGTGTGTGTGGACGGCGAGCATGGGTGGCTCCCCGTCCGACCAGAAACAGACCCGAGCGTACGGCGCCGAGCGGTCCGAAGACGACGTAAAGAGCCATCAGACCATCACAGATGGGGCCCAACAGAGCCGATGCCGATACAGAACTGCACGGTTGGTGCTGGGCAACCGGCTACCGTGCAACGAGTCGCGGGTTCGATTCCCGCACGGAACAACACTTTGTGTGATCCACAAATTGTTGTTTCGGGTCTGGGTGTGTTGTGTATGTGAACATGTATGTTTGTAAACGTACCCACGACACAGGAGAAAATCCTAGTGTGTGGCAACGTTTTATTTAAAACAAAAACAAAACAAGAGTCGCGAACCGGGTTACCGGGGCTCCGGCTCGAAGTGTAGGAGTAGGAACGGGGTGGTTTTTAGTCAGTAAGAGTCTGACACTCCCTCCCGCCTCACCCAGGCGGGAGCAGTCATTCGGTGATAATCCCCCTTTAAAAAAAATGTGCTCCTCTGCCTACCGCTTCGGGTATAAATATTTTTATGTTGTTTTAATTCCAGCCATCAAAGAACCGAGTAGGATTAGACCAGCACATCAGGAATGTTCACAAAGGAAGGCCAAACAACAAGATGTGCCATCATTGCGGAAAAGGATTCCCGGTGAGTACAAAACATTATTTAGCACTAGACTTGAAAATATACAAAATGAGACAAAATCAACTGAAAATCGTGGGTTACTCACGTGAATATACTGAGAAAAGCTCTACTAGTTTCGAGTCACAGAGGGGTTCTTTCTTACTCATGAGCAGGCGAGGGGATTCGTTCACTGCCTGCTTCAGCAGGCGAGGGGTTGGAGTCGCTCGCGCCGCTAGGGGCCGCGCTCGAGCCGGGGGGAGCCCGGCGAGCGGCGGGTTGGTAGCGGCGCGCGGTCGTGTCCGGTGGGGGCGGAGACTCTACCGACCCGCCGGCGGGCGGGCGGGAGTCTCACGCGGCGTCCGATGGGTCGGTCGGCGCGACCAGGTCTCTTGGGAGACCGAAGCCGTCGGGGGGGCGCCGGTGGTAGGGCGCCAGCTCCCGGAGGAGGTCGTGCCGCGACCGATCGGAGCGCTCGGAGAGTGTGGTGCTCAGGCGCTGCACGAATGCGTCGACGCTCTCTACGCCGAGGTCTCGGGCGATTGTCGCGTTCCGAACGAAGCGCGGGGCTTGGACGATGGTACGGAGGCGTTTCTTGTTTGATTCGGAAACGAGCGCGTACCATGCCGGGGCGGCGTAGGTGAGCCGTGTCCGAATGTAGGCCTTGTAGATGCCGAGCTTCGCACGGAGAGGTAGCGCCGAGTCGATCACCGGGCGCAGGAGGTGACGCACTTCTCCTTAGTAACAAACACTGAAAACCACACCAAAATCAGTTCAGCCATTCACGAGATAACCGCACACAAATATACATACATACAAAATGAGAACTTCTTTTTTTTTAAATCGGTTAAAAATATAATATAATTATATCAACAGCCTATAAATGCCCACTGCTAAGCAAAGCCTCTTCTCACATGCAGAAGGTTTGAGCATTAATCACCACGCTTGCTGCGAGTTGGCGATGTCAAACTTATAATTAGAAATGATAAGCCCAAGTTTCCTCACGATGTTTTCCTTCACCGTTTGTCAGTGGTGTCTAGATAATCTTAGAAAGTACATATAACTCGGAAAATCCACATTGGTACTTGACGTTGGTAGGTTTCGAACCCGCACTCTCATGCATGAAAAGCGAGCGTCTTAAACCTCCGGGCCACCACGACAATGACAAAAATAGAAAATATAAACGAATTTCTAATTTTGTTTGTCTGTTTGTTCCAGACTAAGGTGCAGTTGGAATCTCACATTCGCACACACACCGGAGAGCGGCCGTTTATATGTGAATTCTGTCCGACTACGTTCTCACAGCAGTCGAATCTATACAAACATAATCGACAAGTAAGTCATTTTAAAATCTTCTCGTGCCTACGTTGAAAAAAGGCAGATTTAATGTCACTTAGATATGATTGAAGCACCGAAATGTACATAGTGTATTTATGTGTGGGAGAGCCATGCTTCGGCACTGCTGGGCCGGCTCGACCGGAGTGATACCACGGCCGAGCAGGAAACCGACGTGAAGCAACGCTTGCGTTGTGTTTCGTCGTGTGAGTGAGGTTACCGGAGGCTCAATTACACACCCCTTCCCTAATCTCCCCAACGATCCTCAAACTCCTAATCCCCATAAAGGCCAGTAACGCACTTGTACCGCCTCTGGTGTTCCAGGTGTCCATGGGCGACGCCGATTGCTTACCATCAGGTGATCCGTCTGCTCGTTTACCGGCTTATGTCATTAAAAAAATGTGTGCATGTACTTGTAACACCGTAATGTATGGAGTGTAATGACGCGCCATGTCACGTGACAGTGGTCCATCGTGCCAATGTGTGTGTATTCTGCGTGTAAGTCTATAGTAGCCAAAGTCAAAGCATTTATTTCAATTAAACCATAATTTGGTGCTTTTGAAACGTCAACAAATACAAAATAAATAATAGTCTGTCAGTCAGTCCGTCAGTGAAGCTAGGTGAAGCTAGGTGCTCATTCCAAAATGTAGATTCGAATAGAGAAGAACGAACAAGAAACTCTGTTAACGCCGAACCGCGCGCCCGCGCATCGCCAGGCGGTGCAGGCCGGCGCGCCTGCGTGGATTCATTCCGCCACTGGCCGACCCAACGGTCACACGCACTTGTGCAGCATCGCTCGCCTCGAGAGTTACACGTGTATGGTGTATCATAGATTTAGCTTGCCTAATTAAAGTGATTTATCTCTCCATACACCGTGTCATCATTTTCAACAACCCTCGTCAACAAACTCCATTCGTTACTCTTTTAAAAAAAGTATGTTCTACAATGTGTCTGATACATATCAGGTGCCACAGTCGTTGTTTTTATAATAACTATCGTGAGACATACTAAATTAGCCCGCCGCGTCCTCTGTCGGACACTACGAGCGTTTGCTTTCAACTCCGGCGGCGCGTTGGACGATGATAAAGCGCACGGTACGTTCACCAGCGGCGCAGGTAGTGGGTTCGATTCCGGGTTCCGAATTTAGGTGCTACAGTCGTTGTTTCAAGTGACTGTGTCCGCCTTTTCTTCAACGTCTTTGTTTGTGGCATAAATCACGCATTTTTGAATGCTCAAGGAGTTGACAAAGGTGTACGTAATTATACAGTAAAAACCACTGGTCACCACATGTGTTATGAGTCCTGTATAAATAGCTAGCCTTTGTCAGTGGCTTCGTCCGCGTTCGTGTGGGGTAAAAAGTAGCCTATTTATTTATCGCACTTCCGGTGCTATAACGTCACTTATGTATTGCGGAGGCCCGCGCGCAACTGAACAATGAAACGTTGTTTCTCCTAGTGCTGCTAGCTCCTCCTAGCTTACTACACAAATGACAATAAATAACGCACCAAGTAAAGAGGTGAATTTGGAGTATTCTTTCATCAGTTGAGGTTTGACAAAAATTGCATAAGCGACGATATTGCACCGTAGGTGCGATATATGCTTTATTGTACACATTTAAGTAGCTTAAAACAAACAATTCATGTAAATATGCGTACAATGGGCGGTCTTATCACACAATGGTGATTTCTTCCAGACAACCTTTGGATGGAAATATTACTAGTTTTTTTTTAATCTCAGTACTTAGTAGTACGGAGTCTGGAATTCGATTCCGATTTGACCTACAATTTTTTTATTGATTCGAACTCAGAATCGATAGCCAAGTTACATCCTAGAAAATGACGCGACTTTAAAACAACACCTTGTATAACCAGGTTCTACTTGTGTGTTGTTCTAGACCATGATCTACCTTTGTTGCAAATGTCATCACAATCCCTTCAGCCATTTTGATGTCATTGAACAAACATAGTGACTGCCTCGTTGGCCGAGTGGTCGCAAGTGCGACTGCCGGGCAAGGGGTCTCGGGCTCAATTAACGGGCCGGGCCAAGTATTTCTGGATTATTTTAAAAAATCTCAGTAGTAGCACGGAGTCTGGAATTGTGCCCGGTGTATGGCAATAGGCTCACCCCCTATTATACATAGGACTCATAACATAAATAGTGAAAAGTGGGTGTTACATTGTACAGTGGCATTAAGTGCCGTACCTACACCTCTGCCTACCCCTTCGGGGATAAAAAGGCGTGACGTTGATTATATAAGATATATTTTTATTGACATAATATTCTTATTTTCAGGTACATCTAAACATAAAGTCCAAACGCTATCCTCTAGGTAAGAGAAAGGATGACACAAGTCAAGATGACAAAGGTCAAGAAATACCTCCTTTGGGACCAACGCCCATAGACCAGTACAGAATACCGATGCTTCAGTATACTACTGAGAAATCTTTCGTCATATAATCGGTCTGTCAAGAAAGAAGATGCGGGGGAAACCTGGAAACCGTCAAGACGCCTAGCTTTTTGGGGAAAAAGACTAGGGAGTGTGGTATTCGTACCTCACTATAGCCACCCTCAGCACCTGTAAGGGACACCGGGTGCAGCGCCTGATACAGCACATCCCTAGGCAGACGTGCGTGTCCTTTGATCATCTCTTCACGGCAGTACGTGACTTTTATGCTACCGTATTCTCTGAGGTCACTTTTTTTTAAGGGGCAAAATCATCGAAAGACGTCTTCCACCTGGGTGAGGAGGGAGGGAGTGTCAGACTCTTACTGACTAAAAATCACCCCGTTCGTACCCGTTAAGTCTTCCGCGGTTCCGTATCGGCATCAGCCCTATTGGGCCCCATCGGTGGTGGTCTGATGGCTCTTGAGGCGCGCGTGGAACGCCATGCACCGTACGGTCGGGTTTTCTCTGAGGCTACTGGATGGGCACCTAGAATCCCCAATCTATGTAGCCGTGGTCTATGTACGCCTAAGAAGTTGCGAGCAAAAGCCATTGTTTGATGAAACCAGCTATGGATATCTTGCCGCTGATATGATGGTGTATTTTTCTAATATTAAAGGATAAAACTTATTTTATTTGTGTAATAATAACTTATATTATATGTTGATTGTATTGTATTGTGCAATAAAGTATAGCTGAATGCGATGTGTTTATGTATTTTTATTTATTGAGTCAGTATGTTTCGGTTAGACGAGGAATTGTAAAAAATAGAAGATTTAGGGTCGATTTTCTAACGCCAGATAAATTGAGGAATAACTATTGAATATTTGACAGGCATCAATAAGACGAAAGAAGAACAAAGTTAACCCTGTAAGCATACAAGTAAACAGGGAAGCATATCAGAAAGAAGTTAACGAACACCTAAAACTTATAGATACCAACACACCAAACGTCAATGAACTCCTAAACCAACTAAGTAGTTCTCTGTGTCAAGCGGCTAACACTGTAGCTGCTAGAAACAAAAGCTGGTCACACAAACTGCAACCTAAAACTAGAGATCTACTGGAACAAAGACGGACTCTAATCAAACAAGGAGAAAACCATACGGCCCTGTTCAAAGCAGTTTGTAAACAGACACGGGCTTGTGTGGAGAACGACATTGATGAGTACCGCGAGAAAATTGTGAAGACAATCATCGCGAAACATAGAGGTCCAAAAGTGTTTAGAAAAGCTCTAAAGCCCGGTACTCAACAAATTACTAAGCTTTGTGACTCAAAAGGAAATATTATTGCTGATCAAAAACGACTCCTAGAGGTTATAGAGGAGTATTATCAGCAATTATATAGCACTAGAAATCCTAAACCACCTAGCTGGGAAAATCGCAAAATTGTAAACGTTGGATCTGAAGATGTACCGGAGATAACAAAGACCGAGATAAGCGCTGCACTACGTAGGATGTCAAACGGCAAAGCCCCTGGTGAAGACGATATCATCATAGAAATGGTCAAGGAAGGGGGAAACGGGGTAATTGAAGTCATAGAAAAACTCTTTAATAAGTGCTTGGAGGAGAGCCGAATACCGAAAACATGGGAAAGTGCCATAGTTATCTTAGTATTTAAAAAGGGAAGCAAAGTTGACCTCAATAACTACCGCCCCATCAGCCTATTATCACAGCTGTACAAATTGTTTACCAAAATTATCACTATTCGTTTGACCAAAAAACTCGACTTCTACCAGCCAGTCGAACAAGCCGGATTCAGGAGTGGGTCTAGTACCATGGACCACATACTAACAATGAGAATAGTCATAGAAAAAGCTACAGAATACCAGATGCCCCTGTGGCTTGCATTCATAGACTACAGAAAGGCTTTCGACAGCATCGAATCCTGGGCAGTAATTCAGTCTATGCAAAATGCTAGAATAGATCACCGCTACACAAACCTAGTGAAAAATATATATCAGAACGCCACCTTAAAGGTAAATTTACCTCCGGAGACCAAACCAGTGGAGATACAGAGAGGAGTAAGACAGGGGGATACCCTCTCTCCAAAACTCTTCACATTGGTGCTAGAGGATGTCTTTAAAATGCTAGACTGGAGAGATTGCGGCATCAACATCGAGGGCAGAACACTGAATAACCTTAGATTCGCTGACGACATCGTACTGTTCGCAGACAACCCGATTGACCTTGAAACCATGATACAGGAACTTAGTAATGCCTCGGCACGGTGCGGTTTGGAAATGAATCTGGATAAAACCAAAGTCATGACCAATTGTTCCAACACGGGTCAAGGAAGGGGGAAACGGGGTAATTGAAGTCATAGAAAAACTCTTTAATAAGTGCTTGGAGGAGAGCCGAATACCGAAAACATGGGAAAGTGCCATAGTTATCTTAGTATTTAAAAAGGGAAGCAAAGTTGACCTCAATAACTACCGCCCCATCAGCCTATTATCACAGCTGTACAAATTGTTTACCAAAATTATCACTATTCGTTTGACCAAAAAACTCGACTTCTACCAGCCAGTCGAACAAGCCGGATTCAGGAGTGGGTCTAGTACCATGGACCACATACTAACAATGAGAATAGTCATAGAAAAAGCTACAGAATACCAGATGCCCCTGTGGCTTGCATTCATAGACTACAAAAAGGCTTTCGACAGCATCGAATCCTGGGCAGTAATTCAGTCTATGCAAAATGCTAGAATAGATCACCGCTACACAAACCTAGTGAAAAATATATATCAGAACGCCACCTTAAAGGTAAATTTACCTCCGGAGACCAAACCAGTGGAGATACAGAGAGGAGTAAGACAGGGGGATACCCTCTCTCCAAAACTCTTCACATTGGTGCTAGAGGATGTCTTTAAAATGCTAGACTGGAGAGATTGCGGCATCAACATCGAGGGCAGAACACTGAATAACCTTAGATTCGCTGACGACATCGTACTGTTCGCAGACAACCCGATTGACCTTGAAACCATGATACAGGAACTTAGTAATGCCTCGGCACGGTGCGGTTTGGAAATGAATCTGGATAAAACCAAAGTCATGACCAATTGTTCCAACACCACCACATCCTTTAAAGTAAATGACGCCGTTATTGAGAGAGTGACTAAATATGTGTATCTGGGACAAGAAGTGGTAATGGGAAAGGACAACCAAGCCAACGAAATTGACAGGCGTATAAGATTAGCGTGGGCGGCCTACTCCAAACTTGAGTTCGCCTTCCGTATGAACATCACTGCTAAACAGAAGGCACGCATATATGATCAGTGTATACTACCGGTGCTCACATACGGGGCCGAGACCTGGGTGTTTACAAAGGACATTCTACAAAAACTCCAAGTAGCCCAAAGAGCAGTAGAAAGGAAGCTGGTAGGCGTTACGCTGAGAGACCGCAAAAGAAACCAGTGGCTAAGACAGAAGAGTAAAGTCAAGGACGTCACACAGCATATCGCGAAACTTAAGTGGGAGTGGGCTGGCCACATTGCACGCAAACAGGGTTCGTGGTGCAAAGCCGTGATAGAGTGGAGACCGTGGGGCGAAAAACGCCCACAAGGAAGACCCCAGATGCGTTGGTACGATGACATCAAACGAACAGCTGGCACGAAATGGATAGAAATTGCTCAAGACCGAAAGAGATGGCAGACACTGAAGGAGGCCTACACCCTAAGGGTAGAAAAAGGCTAAAGAAGAAGATTTGACAGACAGTTCATTCAAAGTCAAAGCGTTTATTGCAACTAAGTGTACAGATGATAGTCACAGAATTATTACAGTACTTAATACTTAGCGGCCTCTTCCAGACATTGCAACATTTTTAGATAAGTAGGTACACATTCATTGTTATTAACATTGTAGGTAGATATTACAAATCATAAAGAAAAGAAAAAAAATGTCAGGTATAGGTCACATTATAGTAATAATCAAATGAATAGGTATAATTTCTGTCGAGTTTTTTTTTTTTTTTTTAAGGGGGGAAAATGATCGAATGACTGCTCCCGCCTGGGTGAGGCCGGAGGGAGTGTCAGACTCTTACTGACTAAAAACCACCCCGTTCCTTCTCCTGCACGTCGAGTCGGAGCCTCGGTTACCTACCCGTTAGGTTCTCCGCGAGTTTAGGATGTCAATAATATAATTACACAATGTCAAGGTATTATTAGAAGAAAAGAAAGAAAGAAAAATCGTTTATTTGCACACCGCCACAAGGTACAATAACACAAAAAATATGTTATGTCATGTCGAGTAGGTATAATGAACAGAATATTCATTTCGTTGCGGGAATCAAGACCTATTCATGTCCCTGAGACGCGCCGGACTTCAGTGTTCCGGTGTTTTCATGGTTGTATCTACTAGATCCTGGCGTACAGGAGTTGCAGCGGTTTTGTGAGATCATGGCGGGCTTTTCCAGAACAAATACAATTGACAATTCTTTCACACTAACTGTCAAATGTCAATTTAATTCTATAAACATCTAAGAATTAACTGATGATTGAAAACAACAGTAATTCACCGAGGGAAGTGAAAACCATAGTTTTTTCTTCTTCTCCTCTTATAATATCTTCTGATTCACTTCGTTGCGGGAACCAAGACAGTTACTCATGTCCCTGGGACGCGCCGGACTTCAATGTTCCGGTGTTTTCATGGTTGTATCTACTGTAGATCCTGGCTTACAGGAGTTGCAGCGGTTTTGGGAGGTTGTGGCGGGCTTGTCCCAATGATGATTGAAAAATCGACCTTAAGATACGTTATCTTTTACGGTGATGTGTAGTTCATAAAACAGAGTAAGAATCCTTATCAAATTACTCTTAAGTAGAAGAGACTCAAGAGCCTGAGCTTTGGACACTTGTTCTAGAATCGGGAATTTTACAGCGCTATCTTAATTTTAGATGAATTTGGTATTATACTTAGTCGAGAACCATGCTTCGGCACTGCTGGGCCGGCTCGACCGGAGTGATACCACGGCCGAGCTGAAAACCGACGTGACGACAACGCTTTTGTTGTGTTTCGAGTGAGGTTATTGGACAACCAATCCCTGAGTCACCAACAATCCTCAAATTCCGAAACCCCAAACTGCTGATAACGCACTTGTAACTCCTCTGGGGTTCCAGGTGTCCATGAGAGACGCCGATTGCTTACTATCAGGTGATCCGTCAGGTCGTTTACTGGCTTATCTCATAAAAAAATCCCAACTTTTTGTAATATTCTATTTTTCAGACTTAAAATTTTTGACGAACCAACTGAATAAATGGTAAGTACAGCTTAGTAAAAAAGAGTTTAGAATAATAGAGGTCGCTAGTATCGTACCTGTGGCAACCTGGTACACTACGACTCAATTGGTTTTGATTTTTGTTATTTTTGTCGAGTTTAACAAGATGAGGTACTATGTTCGGATGATTGTTTATTCATGGGATATGGACCATAGTCCGAAGTGGGTGATTCAGTCCAAGTCAATATTAGTTCCAGCTGCCACCGCATCAAACTGTTTTGCCAAGCTGTACTAATGTATAAAGGGCAAGAAATAAACAACATACAAATTACATTTATTTATCTAGGTTTAGTGTTTAACGGCCGAATACTAAAATACTTAAATAAATAATGTCGTGATGGCCCGGAGGTTTAAGACGCCCAGCTTCTCATGCATGAGGTTGCGCGGGTTCTAAACCTACCAACGGCAAGTACCAATGTGACTTTTTCCGAGTTATATGTACTTTCCAAGATTATTACACCACTGACAAACGGTGAAGGAAAACATCGCGAGGAAACCTGGGCTTATAATTTCTAATTATAAGTTTTTAATCGCCAACCCGCATTGAGCAAGCGTGGTGATTAATGCTCAAACCTTCTCAGTGTGAGAAGAGGCTTTGCTCAGCAGTGGGCATTTATAGACTGTTGATGATTGATGATGACTGAAATACTACTAAATAATAAGTTGCACTTAAATATCGTGCCATCTCTGTCATTCTACGAAGAATTCCTAGTGACAGAAAATACTTAAGCGCGACTTAAAATCTAGTAGCGTTTGAGTATTTCAGTGTAAGCTAATAATATGACTTAAAAGTATACAAATATTTTGCACACATAAACCTTGCAGATACGGTTCCAATCTCACGATGTCTAGTCATTGGGGGAGGACCAGTGCCGGCGTAAGGGCCACTGACACCCCGTGCGAAAATATTGTGGCGCCCACATGAGGGAAGCAATATCAATATCACACTCATTCTGCACCACTCAATGGTCGACTGTCAGAAAATGCCTACGGCATTAAGTCCGCCAATTTCACTGTAAGTGCAATAAAGTTTAATAAAAACTTGATATGCACAAGATAATTGCGCACATACAACACAAAGCACATAAAAGTCAAATTGAGAACCGCGTTGTTTTGAAGTCATTTAAAAATAATTATGATTTAAGCGACTGCACAATAAGTTCAATATTATCAACAATAATTTCATTGTTGCCACTTCTTTTTCTATCTTTTTTTGGTCTTGCAATATCAACATTTTTTTCTTTATCGCCTCTTGATCTTCGAGTATCCATATTGGTTAAAGAAGTTGAATTCGTTGCGTCATCGAAAGCAAAAACAATTTGTTTAGCTGGTACAGTAGAATGCATCTTTTTAGATGAAGTTCCATCATGATGTTTTGATTTATATTCCTTATTTTTATCTCGTATATAATCTAATAATAAGCCCGTCTCTTTTATGAAAATATTCTTTCCAGGGACATTAAGGTCATTATATTTATCAATTACACCAAATTGTATAAATTCTTTTACAATTCTAGAGGCATCCAATTTACTGTTTACATCAATAGCTTTATTAAATTTCCTCAAATATTTAAGTAGCTTTTTCAAATCTTCTTTTGAGTAAATTCTGTCCATTTTTTTAGCGAATCGCTTGAAGATGGGGTTTCTATGACAATGTTTAACATTATATGTCGTGTTATGAAGCTTATCAAATGAATCCTTTATGATTTTCTTCAGATTTTCGTCAGGTATTATTTCATTTAACTTATACTGATTTGTGTCAATAATTTGATACATTTCTTCCTTTATTATTGATAGTGCATGGTCAAATGTAGACGAAGATGCATTGGCCATATTATAACAAACTTCTTTGAACAAAACTAAGAAATCTAAACGACGATTGTCGATTTGTTGCATAGTATCCGCCCTAAATTGTTTTGAGCCTGTTGGATTTTGGGAAGTGTTATAATCTTTGAGCTGTGGTGCCAACATAGCATACAGTTTGTCTAAGAAGTCTTTTATATTTTTAACGAATTTTATGTTCTCCCTAATATTCTTTGGTTCGAAAAGAAATGATGTTTCTAAAGCTACGTTCACGCTTCTTGGCGAAGGGTCATGGCTGGCTGCTGTCGAGGCTGCAAGATATTTTTAAAATGGCGTCAAATATAATTTTATTTATTTCGTTTTAGTGACTATACTTATTAATATTATAAAGAAGAACGAAGTAACTGAAGGTTAAATACAAGGCCGGAAACCTTTGTATCACCTCTGGTGTTGCGGGTGCCCATGGGCGGAGCTGATTGCTTACCATCAGGGGATCCGTCTGTTCGTTTACCCGTCTATCTCATGAAAAATCGAGATCCCGCGTAGTTTCACTCGCAGCTCGCCTCCTATTGGTTATAGCGTGATGCTTTATAGGCTTTTTTTATTTTTTTAAAGAGGGATAATCATGCTGCTACCGCCTTGGTGAGGCGGGAGGAAGTGTCAGACTCTTACTGACTAAAAACCACCCCGTTCCTTCTCCTGCACGTCGAGCCGGAGCCCCGGTTACCCGTTAGGTTCTCCGCGACTCCGTATCGGTCTGATGGCTCTTTGACGCGCCGTACGCTCGGGTATGCTTTATAGCCTACGGCCTTCCTCGATAAATGGACTATCCGACACCCATATAATACCCAATTAGAACCAGCAATTCCAGAGAATAGCGCGTTCAAACAATCAATAGATACTCACCATATCCTAATAACGACAACAAAATTACGGTTTTCATATATTCACGTAAAAAAACAATCATTTTTATATTTTGTTTTTATCATTGCTTCGAACGCATTGCACTGTGATGTGATGGCGGAATTATTTTTAAAATAATAAAAATGTATAATATGATTTATGAAGCATCGACATTGATTTTTATTACGACTTTTTTGTAGGTAGACTTATAGGAATTCATAAAACTAGAATCGTAGTCGATATTGCTCAGTAAAATTGGTAAAAAGATATTATTTTTGAAAATGATTACTCGTAAGTTACCTAGGTATCTATTGTTCTGGGTTTGACTGTCATATCGTAGTAGATGGTGCGACTCTGCGGAACTAGCATTGTATAATAGGGTAGATGCCTAATTTTTATTTTAATGACCTGCTAGATTGTTTTAAATCATTAGACACGTAATTTTTATTTTCTTACATAAACGAATACTTTCGACGATATAATTTGATTTGAAATGTCACGTGACGTCACTTCTTCGTACAATTGTACACAAAGCACCGCTAATTAGTTCGAGGCGCTACACATCGACATTACTATCATTTACACAGTGAACATGTGTGGGTAATTTCATATTAATAGATATGTATAGAAACATTCGTTCTATCACACACATCTTGGTATTACATATCATTTTTGTGTCGGTATACGTAATATTTTAGTAAATAAGTTTAAATAAAAACGAGGGTAAAGATAAAAATACTCATAACAAACTTTGAATAAATCGAAATCAAAAATAATGAACGATCGAGCAATACAATACTTATATAAATATAGTGCATTCTCATTGTATTTTTATGTTACTGAATGATATACAATATTTCGATGTTCTCATCTACGGCGCGCTTGGCGCAATGGTTATCGCCTCCAGTGGTCAAGTAAAGTGCCACCGGATCGATTCCAGCATTCACATGTTGTTTTAGTATTAATTAATCAAATATTTGAAATGTGAAATTAGAAACAATTAAATCTTTTCTTTTTTTCCTATCCTATTTTTCTAAATCTTATGTTAATTTTAATAGTAAATACTTTAGATTTATTTATACCTATAATATCCTTTATTTATATTTTAGTTCTAGTTATTTATTATTTAGAATAATTTAGAATGATTGGAAGAACTTTAAAGTTAACATGTGGTATATAATTAATTATTAGATATAAATATTGAATATAAAACCACATATTTGTATAATTAATAAATTAATTTTAATAAAAAATAGTATTGTTTTATTTACCGACTGATTTGCTTCTTTTATAGCCTGATATTTATATTATATGACAAAAAACAAAAAAAAAAATAA